TATCATCCAAGTACATGAAACGAGTGTGAACATGGTGAATGAGCCACCAAGGGTATGAATATTTTAGAAAAACAGCGGCAGATGAGATGAGCATGGATTTCCTAGATGGTGAAGCCAGGACGGGACTGCCTTGCTAAATTAATGATGAGCTGTTTCGAGGATAAAACCAAATCCATTGCATCAATAGGAATGCATGTGTAATCTCATCAAGCCATGGAAATAAAATCAAAAGCTTAATTTAAAGGGCGTGGGGAGGTAGAAAATGAAAAGCTTTGAAACCAGAGACTTATTTGACTTCTTGTGTTACTGTTCCCCCAAACGTTCATACTCACCAGTCACTGGAAGTTGTGCGTTCAGTTTGGTGACTACGTCAACTTACCCATGCAGACTGCTGCTGAGCTACAGTGATCCTCTGCTGGGGTTTCCAGTCCGGTGCTTGGGTTTCTTTCTCATTGGTATTCAAGAAATGTGTATATAGGCGTGTGTGTGTGTGTGTGTGTGTGTGTGTGTGTGTGTGTGTACCATATAGTATAGCACTTAGGAGCTTAGCATGGGGTCAGACTGACAGCACTTGGAATGCAGCTGTACCATTTACTAATTGTGTGACCTCGAGCAATTTAATTAACCTCTCTGGGTCTCAGATCCATATCTGCAGATAGCTGGCATCAACCTTGTGGGTTGTTTTGAGGATTAAGTGAGCATCTGTTGTGCACTTCTTAGCACAGGACCTGGCTCACAATCAATTTCCAAATATGAGGTATTGTTATTATGATGTTTTTCAATGAGATGTAATTAAAATAATTCTGTTTTTATGCTAGTCACCTGTGGAGCAGTGGCTGGGTGGCACTGTGGCTGAAAAGGCACGCCAGACTGACTGTTAGGTTTGTGTGTGCTTACTCAGAACCAGGCAGGAGAAAGGTGAACTCCCATCAAGATGTACAGTCTTGGAAAGAAACCCCCAGGGGCACTTTTATCCTGTCCTATCAGGCCATTGTGCCTTGGAATATTTTTTATCTCCTGAAATAATACACGAAGACTTAAAAAGGGTAAATATGTTAATTCAGAGGATGTCCTATGCCTCCAGAGAGCAAATCAAACAGTAGTAGATGTATTTGCCTTATGTAGAAGACCCTTTTAAAGAACCGCGATAGCCCAGTGGTTAAGTGCTGGTCCGCTAGCGAGAAGATCAGTGGTTCAAACCCACCAGCAGTGCCATTGGAGAAAAATGTGGCAGTCTGCTTCCATAAAGATCAAAGCCTAGGAAATCTTATGGGGTAGTTTCACCCGCCCCTATGAAGTTGTTATGCATTCACATTGCATTAATAGCAATGGGTTTTGGTTTTGGTTAATGGACTCTTTTTTTTAATGACTGTCATTGAATATTGGTTAGCTGGCTGTTTGTTTACCTCAGTTGTGCAGACAGGAACCGTGCCTGCATTCTCTGAGTTGGAGGGCAAGTTGCAGTAGTTGACCTGGAAAACCATTTCTATTTGATGTTGTTATCAAGTTGCAAAAGTTCAGAACTCGCCCATTCTCCTGACTCTGCATTTCATTCGGGGTTCTTTGTTATGCGGGAATCAAAGACCCTTGGTTTCATATGACCCTTTTACTATCAGAAGCCTTTAACTGTTGGCTGGACTTCGGTGTTGCTAAGTTTTATTGGGCCAGTAGAAATATCCAGAGGACCATTCTCATCCAGTGCCCGTAGGATAGTCAGCAGCCAAATAACAAACCATTGGTAAATTTTGCTTTAATCGTTAAAATGCATGTGAAATTTATACAATATTACTGTATGTGTATGAAATTGTGAGTATGTGTGTCAGACACACACACACATTGTTTATACTCGTGTGTAAGCTGAGTTTTTCAGCACATTTTTAACGCAGTTTTTGTGGTAAAATTAGGTGCCTTGGCTGATATTTGGGCCGACTTCTACTTGAGTATATATGGTTTGTATACTTTGTATATATAGGTGCTTTAAAATGTTCATGGAAAAAGTGGAACTAAAACAATGGAATTTTGTCATAAATTTTTGAAGCTCCCTAGTATGTGTATGTGTATAGTATAAATGCATTTATAATATGTATGCATATACATCATTTATAAATCTGATAGTTGTACAATTTCAATGTGTTACAGTACAAAGACTATTATGATGCGAATATTTATGACCGTGTGATTTTATTTACCTCTTGGGAATCAGTTGCCTTATTGATTCCACGACAGATATAATTTCATTAAGATCATGGCAAGCTAGGTGCGGCAGCAATTCCAAAGTATTAGAGCCTTTTCTATTACATATTAATAGTTTTTAATCTTCTGAGATTGCTTGTATATGGCCTGAGCAAAGAGATGAAAATATTGATACTTTGTTTCAAGGACCGTATTTTCAATTTTGGGTAGTTCCATGTTCTCTCCTGGATGGTTTGGAACATGCTGCGATGCTCTATGCTTGTGCTAACCAGGGTTGGAATATGGATGTAGGAATTATGTCCTAAGCATATACTGGAGAGCTTCAACAAGTTTGTGAAATAATTCCATTATCGTTTTTTTCCTCCCATTGTTTTAATGCATTTTCTCCCACCAACTTTTCAAAGCCCCCTCAATATAACATTATGACTTCCAGGTAAATAGATAGATGTAATCTGTATTAGTTGGGTTTACCAGTTGTGACCCTGTTCAGCCCGAGTGTGTTGATGATTGTGTCTGTGAGGAATTCTGGAAAATCCTAGAAAGAGAGGTAGTTCCAGAAAGAAAAAACGATTTATGAAAAAAACAAAATCATTGAATGTGCACTTTATTTTGTTCACTTTGACATGACACTAAGAGGTACATCCTAATTTTATCCCATGTAGAATCACCCGAGAACAACAAAACTGCCAAGAGAATCCAGTGACATTTAAATGTGCTAAATAAAACATGCATGGCCCATGTCAGGTTTCTGTGATTTTTCGGTTCTGAACTTCAAAGGCTCTGGTTAGCTTGCTTTTTTTTAACTAATGAGTTTAGCACCACCAGTGGGAAAATGGTTAAAGTATATCAGCTGTAAATTGGTACAAAGCACTAAAAGGGACATTAGCCTCTAATCAGATTCTAACAGTTCATTAAATCTGCTTTTCTACCACAGTGCTTTGTCTTTTCTCACTCCTTAGCATGGGCCTTCCTTATAAGGCAGCTTCTTCCCTGTTTCATCTGGGCAGGACCTCCTCCGGGGTAGGAAGCAATATCAACTCATCCTTCATTGTCTACCAACCAAACAGCAAAGGGGCATGCTTTGTTACCTAGATACCGGGTGCTGCCGTGAACACAGGCTGTCTGGGTCCTGGATGGCTTTCCTGAGACTGGGTGGTAGCAGGCATCACTGGCAACCTGTGCGGATTTGAGATTCATGCCTGAAGTGTAAAATACCCCCAGGCTCCCATGACAGCTCAAACTCACCACTACCGGGCCCATTCCGACTCAGTCATCCTATGGAAGGACTTCCAACTGGAGGCACATTGACTCGGCTGGCCAGTTGTGCCACAGTTCTTTCTACGCCCCATTAAGATGTAGTAACCCTAAAAAGTATGGAGATGTCAAAAGCAAAAATAAATCAATAAATAATCATTCTGGTCATTTTAGTAATATTGTACCTTTCTAGGGGGAAAACCCCAGAAAATTGTTTGTTTTCTTCTTTGAATTACCTAAGAGACACGGTGATATGGGATTTTAAAATGCTCATTTAGCTAGCTCCAGAATTAAATTTGCTCTGTGCGTGTGTATAGGGGCCCCATCATTTTATGTCTTACAGTGTTTTTTCTTAAAGAGAAGAAGCATGAAGAAGCACCGAGAAATAATTAAAGCTTCAGTCTCCTGTACTCTGTTGGTATTATTTAGCTATCAAAATGTTGAATTATTACTCAGGAAAATGGGGTTTCACCCCCAACTCCCCTTTGATTATCAATTTGGTGGGAAAGCGTTTTAGGAAAGATGAAACCTGAAGGTTTAGAAACATATGAAATTTGTCATGTAGGCAAAATAAGTAGAAACTGATTCAGCCTCCCTGCCTCTTTTTGTAAAATATGAAGGCAGATGGTTACATGTACTGGACAGAAATAATGACTGTAACCAAGTGTGTGCAGGCACATGAAGTCAGGATTGTTTTCTTGGTCATCATGCGACAAGGGCAAAGTTTGCATTCTAAATAAGTTTTAAAGTAGGAAACTGATTGTGCCCTTCAGGCTGCACTGATTTGTGATTTTTCCTATAGGTTACTAACTTCCAAAAAGTCCCTCCAAGTGGAAACTAGCAGACAGTAGGCTTCGTTTCATCTCTAGAGCCAGAAGAGAGCTGGGTTTTCTTTTCTGGAAGTAGTCGATGGAGCCGTATGCCAGAACACAAACAAAGGATTTATTTCTTGATTATGACCTCAGTGCTGACAATCAAGTCTCGCTCCCAGGCGTATGGGTCAATTAGGAAATACTAGCTATTTGGAATTAATACATAGAAATCCTCACCTTATTAGAATTGCCATGGTATATTGAAAAGAAATCTGTGTATATAGAATTGTATTGACTTATTTTACTGTATATTTAGACTTGGACGAGAGTATCACTACATATAAATGATTTTGGCATTCGATCTTTTCTTTATGGATTTTTGTACAAAATTAAGAATGAGAGAGAATCCTGACTTAGACAGATTTCTTCCACTATTGCGAAAATGTGATGAATTGTTCCTGCCCCACATAAATTAATGTTTCCATACTCCAGTTTATTACAGTCTGACCTCCAACCCAGAGGTCGGAGAATCAGACTGATTAATTCAACTTCTTGGCCATTACTTCAAATGAAAGTTCAGATGGGGGAGATAATTGGTTATGCTGATCTCTTCATTGAATGACACCTCATTCTTTAAAAACAAACAACCCAAAAAACAGGTTTGCCATAGTAGACGTACCCCATGGAAGGAAGACTGCCATATGCCCTCTGTGGACTGTTTTCTCCTCTCTCTCTCTGCAGAACACCAACACCTTTGAGAACAGAATGCTAATGCTGGATGGGATGCCGGCAGTCAGAGTCAAGACAGAGCTGTTGGAATCGGAACAAGTGGTAAGCACTGGTGTCCACCTGTGTCCCCCTTCCTCCCCCTTAGGAGCACGGCCATCCTTTTCAGGGCGACTTGGGGTCGTCTTGAGGCTTGAGAAGGACTTCTGCTCTTGCCCATGCTTAAACTCTTGTCCTTCAGAAAAATTACGCAAGACGGATGGCTTCTCACTCATTTGGAACCTCAACTGTTGTTCACGTGGAAAAGATACCTTTCTGAAATTAGGACAGCGTCGTGAATTCAATTGACTATTCAAATGATGACCATATTCAAATTCGTGTGTTATTTAAAAAGATCATAAAAATCCAAAGCAAAGAGAAAATATTACTACACACATGTATCTATAATGGGAATATAATCTCACTATCAAAGTAGCTTGGTTCTGGATATATTTAGAAATTATTCAGCAAGTATCGAACTTTTTTTTATTTCCTGGATTTCTCTTTTGTCACTTGTCCTTATCCTTTTTAAAATTCCATAAGGAATAGGAGGCAGGGAATTTGAGAAGTTCACGACAAACAGCAGATTGGAAACCAGCCATATTGTATACATTAGGACTGGAGGAACACCCCACTCGCTTGCCTGAAGCCCACTCTTAAACCGTGAACTGAAGTAACCGCATGCAGTCATCTTTAAACTCAGCAACGGCGTAGCGTGTGCGTGTGCTCCAGACAAGGGTTGTTGTGGGAAGGGCCCACACCGCGCTCACAGCTGTTCCTGTGTCGGAGCTGCAGCCTCGGTGTCAGTCCATCTTAGGGAGGGCCTTCCTTTCCTCTCTGTTCCTCTGATTTATCAAGCGTGATATCCTCTTTCCCCCGGAGGAGGTCTCTCCTGACAACAGGTCTAATTGAGTTGTGATTCATACTGAAGGCTGTAATCCTTGGTCTTCATCAGCAGGTGCTTCAAGTTTGCCTCACTTTTCAGTAAGCAAGATTGTGTCATTTGCATATCTTAGGTTATTTATACGTCTTCCTCCAACCTGATACCATATTCTTCTTTATGCACTCCAGCTTCTCTGAGTATTTCCTCAACGTATGTACTGAATAGCCATGGTGAGAGGATACAACCCTGAGACACACCTTTCCTGATTTTAAACTGTGCGGTAGTAGTCCCTGGTTCTGTTTGAACCACTGCTGTGCTATACATCCATTCCTCTTGAGCAGAATGAAGTGTTTGGGGAGTGTCATTCTTCTTAAGGCTATACATACTTTGTTAGGTTACACAGATTAATTGCCTTTGCATAGTGAATGAAACACGGGTAAACAGCTGTCTGAGCATTCTCTATTTTAGTAAACACTATCCAACAGCAGCAATGAAAACCATTATGCCATGTCCTCCTCTGAATCCAGCCTGGACCTCTGGCAGCTGCCTCTCAGCAATGTACTGTTGCAACCAGTGTTAGATGATCTTCAGTCATGTTACTTGTATGTGGTATGATGATATTGTTCAATAATTTGTGCATTATTGGTTCACTTTTCTTTGGAATGGATTTCTTCCAGTCAGTTTGCCAAGTGATTGCCTTCCAAATTCCTTGGCTTGGACATGTGAGTGCTTTACCAGCTTGTCGACACAGTTCACTTGGTACCCTAGCGCTTCCTGCACTCTTGTTTTTCACTAAAGCTTCAAGTGCAGCTTGGACTTCCTCTCTCAGCGCCATTGGTGCTTGCTTTTATGCCACCGTTTGAAATAGCTAAATATTGACTACTTCTTTTTGGTCCAGTGACTGTGTATTCTTACCCTCTTCCTTGGGGCTTCTTGTGTCCTTCAATGTTTTCTTTTGGAATCTTGAATATTGTAACTTGAGGTTTCTTTTTCATTTTTCTCCTTGAGTTCTTTCTGCTGAAGATATGCTGAGCAGGGTCTTTCTTTTTGGTTTTGTAGCTCTTGGTGTTTGCACATCTCATTAAGCTATTTGACTTTGACTTCTTGAATTGTCCTTTGAAATTTTCAGTTCAGCACTTGGACTTCATCCTTTCTTTCATGGGTCTTAGTTATCTTGCGACTAAGAGGAAGTTTCAGAGTCTTTTCTCACATCTACTTTGATCTTCTCATTAAATGCATGTGATTCAGGAGCCAACAGTAACCCGGAAGCATGGCAAGAGGGGCAGAGCTAGGGAAAGTGGTGGCACAGCGTGATGTCTGTAATCCCTGCCAATGAGCCGTGTATGCATATAGTTGTTACATGAGTGTATGCTCTGTTGTTTCACCCAAGAATAGCCATACTAATGATGTTTCTGTAACACTCTCCAACCCAATTAATGAATTAGTCTATGACCACAGACCAATGTACAGAGCAGGAGCCCAGGACAGTAGATTTTTAAAAGGAAGATAGAAGATTTCAGCATTGCTAACTTTTCTTTCTTCACTCGTTAGAATGACAACATACGAACAAATAAACCAAAAGAAACCAAGTGCCGAGTGACTGCCTGCATTGTGGGCTGTCTGCCACATGTAGAAAAGGTGGAAGCACACCCTGCCTTTCTTTCTCAACAACTGTAACGCCAACAAAGTGGCTAAGAGAACTGGAAAGGGGTATAAATTAGCCTTCGGGGCATTTAAATCGAGAACCACTGTTCTGGAAAATGTGTACTGAGACTTGTTCTGATGTGGCTAAGATTCTTAAATCCTTGCCCTAGTTAGAAACTGATCTTAAAAGCCAGAGGAGGGATTAGCAGGCAGGAGTCCCCATGGTGGGCATTAGCCCCAAACCAAAAACCTCACTGCCGTGGAGTTGATTCCGACTTAAGAGTGACCCTATGAGGCAGAGTTGAACTGCCCCTATGGGTTTCCAGAGTGGTCAATCTTTATTGGAAGAGAAAGACCTCATCTGTCTCCCATAAGTGGTTTCGAACTGCAGACCCTGCTGTTAGCAGCCAGCAGGTACAGTTAACTCAGGTATGAAGCAGCACTCTGCACCATAACTCACATTACTACGGGTAACCCGTGAACCACATGAAGTAGAACTGCATGAGTCCATTGAGAGACAGATTTATCAAGAGTCCAGTGCAATGCTAATCATCTCTGCGGGAGCAAGTTATAACTGTCTCTGGTAAACTGTGTATCACAGTAAAAGCTGAACTCTTGTGGTTCTCAGGATTTTTTCATCGTGTTTAGTGCAACACCATAAACCTTGAGTAGCACCGCAGGACTCACACACAGGGCCACTAGTGATGCTGGATGTGCTCCCATCAAACGGGTGACTTCCTTGACAGCTCCTCTTCACTTGGCTCTGCCCCTGCAGTGGCCTGCCATTTCAAGAACAATGAATCCAGCATGAGGAACATTGTTTAAAAAAAGAAAATTCGTGAAGCTGGTGCTCCAGCTAAGTCTGTAGTACCCAAACCCTTCGTGTGTGTGTGTGTGTGTGTGTGTGTGTGTGTGTGTGTGTAATACCTCTTAATCTCTTATTGAAAATACAGCTTGTGGGTGCATTGAATAATACACATAATGTACATAATAGAGTGAACATAATTTGCTTATGTTATCTGTTAATGCACCTAGTCAACAGAATGCTATTAATAGTTACGTTTTCAGGGAGTCACATGGTACACTTGATTTTTCAACTGGTCAGGGGAATAAATGATAGATAGATAGATAGATAGATAGATAGATAGATAGATAGATAGAGATAGAGATAGATAGATGATAGATAGATAGAGATAGAAGTCTGCTCTTTTCAACTTCATCAGTTAGTAAATTGGTAAATTCACCCAAGCCCATTAAATGTTGGAGAAAGGCCAAAAAGTAGAGAAAACTCTTCAGAAAAGATTATATTTTCAGATCTTTTCACCCCCTTTTCAGTGGGAAAAATACACTTACCTTGCACACATACCCTCGCCCTGCCTTTTAATTAAAAAAACCTCAGGCCCCATAGCCCACAATCCAGGAAAAAGTGTCAGTCACTCACTTCAGTGGAGTTCATTCCGACTCATAAGCTTTGGATCGTTACCTGCAAGATCAGCGAGTCTAAACCATCACTCCCATAAAGACGTACAGTCTCAGGAATCTAAGGGCTCATTGCCTCTGTCCTGTAGTGTTGCTATGAAGATGAGGTATACGTCTCTGCCTTGCATCCCCCCGCCCCATTGTTCCAGCAACCCAAAGGACGATATTGCCCACTTTGAGAAATAACTGATCTAGAAAAACAGTCCACGGCAGCATGGTGTGTTGGTATTGCTAGTGCTGATGACTTTTGACAATATCCGGGTGTTCCAACGCTTTCACTGTCAGTTGTCAGTTTTAAGGCAAGGCTCAAATGAAACATCCAGATGCGCACACACCTCCCGCCAGGCTTCCCAGAGGTTTTACAGTAGCATGAAGACCCCATGCTACATTTTTTATAGGAAGCCTTTTGGGGCCCTTAAATAGGAAGAAGAAAAACAGTGAGTTTATAAGTTCAACTTGATGCCTGGCTATCAAAATGAATTTCCTTCCTTTTCAGTGGAGCTGATGACATACTGGAAGGAAAGATATTTTTACCCCTTGGTGTTAAATGTATTTCTTGAATATATGACAGATCAGTGTTTCATCCTCTTTCTTATAGAAATAAACCTTGACTGAAGTAGCCTTGCAGGGTCTAATGAAATGTGTGATGACTTAACTCCCTATAGAATACAATTGTTTCTATTTCACAGTTTGGGATACTTTTCAATCCACTTTTAAAATTAGAAATAAAAACTAGAGATTTAGGGAACTTTATACTTGAGTATGTAAGTAGAAATATATATATATAGTTGAAATATATTTAAATATTGACTGTACCATGGACTGCCAAAATACCACATAGCTCTATCTTGGTAGAAGTACAGCCAGAATGTTCTTAGAGGCAAAGATGGCGAGAGTTCATCTCACATACCTTGCACATGTTATCAGACCAGTCTCTTCAGAAGGACAGCATGCTTGGTGAAGTGGAAGGGAAGCTAAAAAGAAGATTGTCAGTGAAATAGATCGACACGCTGGCTGCAACAATGGCCTGGAAAATAAGAACAGTTATAAGGATGGTGCA